CAGCAACATGGGCTCGACGATTTTGTAACCATTTTCTCGCCCGACGTATTAAGCAGCACGATACAAAGGTTACAATCAGCAGTGCCGCATTCGCGGTGGTAATGTGTTGCGTCCACGAAACCTCAGGTGCTGGCGGCTTCAAGGAATTGGCCCAAAAAAAACCCATTTTGTATTAAGAAAAACTAGAAAATTTTGTGATATTTGTACTTGAGTAAATTTGGAAACTTTAGAATTTTGTGCGTTACTTTCAACTATTTTTATTGTTGGCGCGTATACTAGATTTGAAAATTACAGCATAATTCAAATATCCTAATAGCCATGAAAATTTGTTCAAAAAATCGTATGACAAGTGTGTATGTTTATTTTTAGTTAATTGTATTACTAATTCTAATTTATTATTATTTAATGTATTTATTAAGTTATTATTAACTGTCCGCAGGAGTAGTTTATATTTTCGCGAGAAAATCCGTTTTGCTAATTTTATGTTTTCTAGGCGTTTTAAAAAATTAGACCTGAATCGATTTTGACCTGAATCGAATTAGACCAAATTAGGAAAAAGTACGTGTGTATATTTATGTGTATGTGAGTCGATTTTTGATTTTTGTCGACCTTTTCTTAAGAATAGCTAAACCTTTTTAAAAGATTTTTGATACGATCGGCTGAGGCTTTTTTGAGAATTACCAGAAAAGTTTGAAAAACTATTCCAAATATATCATTTGGAAATCGTACTGATTAGTTTTTGAAAAATATCGGCCAGGTTTCTTCGTAAATGATTGTTAATAAAAAGTTTTTCGACGATTTTAATGAATCATTATGTGGCCACAAAGTTTCTGAACATTTATGAAATATCAAAATATGCATCTAGAAAATACTTGGGGTATGTGTCAGGCATGTATCACGTTATGATGCTCCAAAGCAGTGATTTCCAAAGTGGTCCACATGGACCCCCAGGGGTCTACGAGAGCGAAAGCTAAATTTGGGAGTCCACGGCATATTTAGTAATAAACTAAATAATAAGAATAAAGGGGGTATTCTAGTGTAGAAATTCAAAAAAATCGTTTTTTTTTATTTCATGTTTTCAAAGTTGAACTATCTAAGAATATGGGTACGAGAAGGTTTTTGAAAATTTGAATTATTTTTGGAGATATAGGCATTTTACTGACTTGGTCTCCATACTGGTTTGGCTTCACGCAAAACTTCAAATGCGTTTTTGACACGATTTCTTGAGTTTTAATCAACCGATTGACTTGAAATGTTCAGAGAATCTTGTTTATAGCCCAAACTAGGATTATCCCCAAATTCCAATTTTTACTATTAAATTTCAAATTATTTATTATTCAATTTTGACAAATTATTTAATTTGTCGCCAATTTGTAAAAAAAATTTTTTTTACTCATCGCTAGTTCGAGCGATTGCGACATCATTGTAGATTAATAATCTTTATTTTTTTACATTTCCGATGGCTAGGAGGGCTGAAATCATGTCAAGACTGTCATGCCAATCAAATCATGTCAATTTTTTGAGACCACCCACTTCATCAGCTTCCAGTTTTTACAATTTTCACCTTTTTTATTTTTTAATTTTTGTTTCGTATTTTAATAATATTAATAAACAAGTGGTAAAAAAATGGATAGTCAAAACATTCATTGCTTTCTTTTACGACACTACGCTAGAATACCCCCTTAAGTTTTATATAAGTTGTCTGTTAAAATGCTGCATTTTGGCAAGACTTTTTGCGCCGATTCTATCAATACTAGACAAAATACTTTGTCCTGGATCTCTTTTAAAAAATCCAAAATAATTTTTTCTTCTCATTTGAAGCAATTTTTTTCAAACTTTCGGAATCGCTTTATGTCCAAGTATTATAAGTTGGAGGAATATTTACATTTTATTAAATTGTGATTTTTCTTGAGGAAATCTGGTTTCTTGCCACCTCTTTCTTACTGATTTTTATGAGTAAGAAGTTTTTTTGATAATTTGTTGAAGCGTTTTTGGCTGCTTTGCATATAACTGCATAGAATGGGATGTGACACCAGTCACCAAGTCAAAATCATTTTTCAAATAAGTCTTAAAAATAGGAATTTCATGTATCAAATACTAATATTAATTTGCATGTTTATTGGTTATTGTTTATAAAATTGTTTTTATCTCTTAAAGTTGTTGTGCTATAAGTGACTAATTTATCGGTGAATGGTCAAAACTTAGAAAAACCTATTTTTTGGCATTTTTTTAGCATTTTTTTAGCAAAATTCAAACTTTTTGAAACGATTTCTGTAGTACGACTTGTACTTTGCCACAAAATTCGACTCATCGTTTGGCAAAAATATCTTTTCAGCGAGCATTCTTTTGTGATCTAAGAACAGGATATGATCGCTGATCTAAAGAATATAGTGAGTGGAAAAGCTAATTGGAGCGCAGTTCATGTTTTTTCTGCAACTGTTTTCACGGATTTGTGACTTGGCGCGTTGACCTGGTGACGCAGTACGGTTTTCTTTTTCAATGAGGCTCTTTTGCAATTTTGATATTCAAATGCTCCAATAACGTTACACAATAGCCACTGTTGATTGTCTGGGTTTTCTCAAGATAGTTGATAAAGATCATTACTTGAAAATCTCAAAAACTGACGCCATAACTTTACCAGCTGATCTTTTGCATTTCTTCTCATCGTGTCTAGTCCACTCGGCTGACTGTCTATTCAAGTGTAATTTTAATTTAAGTGTAAATGTGTCTCCAGGTCACATCCATGGTTACATATTGAAGTAAAAATTCAGTTTTATGATCAAATGCGAGTCCGCGCGGCACCGATTTAGTACAGAGCCTTTTCTTATTCAAATATTCGCGATCCTGCTATCTCAGGTAATTTTACTTTTCGGTTTTCCAAAACGTTTCGGTAGTGGCTTTTAGTGTAACTACCTAAATTGGCCTTTCAAAGCGATTAGTATCGTCAGTGTCTGTATGGTCACGATTAAAACCGGCAAACCATTTCTCCGCCGATTGCCTCGATTTGGCGCAATCCATATACCACTTATCAAGCAATACTGTGGTAGCAATGGTGTTTCAACCCATCAAAAAGCAATGATAAATTAACTCACGAAATTGCTTTCAGTTCATGGTTTCGAGCAAATCAAAAGTAGCTTCACTCGAACAACTGTAACTTATGAACTAATCGTCGGATTATCATCAAACTTTGACAGATATCTTCTTAAAGTTGGTGCTGTACACAAGTAATTTTGTGCTTTGGTGCATACTAAAATGCAAATATAGTTAATTTCTGGGTTGGCCATTGAAGAAAGTTGCTTATTAAAATATTTGCTGACAAATATTATCGGTTTGGTAGTGCTTAATGATGTTTTTGATTATTATAGCAGTTCTATCGTTAGATGTTCCACTTGCATTGGTGTTGTGGAAATAAAATTTGTTTAATATAAAGTTACTAAAGCGTATTTTCGAAATTGGCATAATATTAATTTGATAATGTATTGAACTCGATTTTAACTTATTGATTATGATTTGATTGTTTATAATTAGAAAAAAATCTATAATAATTACTATATAAAATATTTCTCAATATAAAACAAACTTTGTGAAAGTTATACAAGTAATACACAAAACATATCATAGTTTCATATTTTATTGCTGCTTGAGTGACGGATTTTCTTCTAAACTAATGGACATTGTGTTTTAATTATAAATCAGTAGACTTAAAATTAAAAGTCACAATTGTAAGTTTACAAAATAATATTTTAAAAGCCTTCAAAATATATAAAAAAAATGATAGGTGGACTGCAGAGTTGACTATTTATTATTTATGAAAAAATAAATTTTAGTGCAAACATTACAAATTTACAAGATTATTATTATAAATAAAGTTTTTTTTTCAAATTTTTTGAATATGTATAATATTTAAAAAAATAATTTATTTAAAAAAAACTGTTTATTAACTTCCCGTAGGGTAAGTTATTGTAATGGGCCGAAAATCGGAATTGAAAATTTTTACATTTCTCGACGTTTTGAAGGTTTCTGAACGTTTTGGCATACCTCAGAAAAAATGGATGTGTGTGTGTGTGTGTGTGTGTGTGTGTATGTATGTGTGGATACAAATTTCCAGTCACGTTTTAGGGCGCACGGATCAACCGATTTGAATGGTCCAAAAAACATTCGATTCCTATTGATTGGGAAAAGAGCTGATTAGTTTTTGGCAAACGCAGGTCCAGCCGTTTCGGAGATACGGAGCAAAGAGTGCAGAAAATAGAAATCGAATTTTTGAGCGAACGCAGTATCCGATTTGAATGATCTAAAAAACATTCAATTAGTAATGATTGGGAGAAGTGTTTATTAGTTTTTGGCAAAGGCAGGCCCAGCCATTTTGAAGATACGGAGCTAAATATGTAAAAAATGGCAGTTTTTGAGAGAACTAAGCGTCCGATTTAAATAATTCAAAGAACTTTCTGCTTGTCTTAACAAAATAATTGATTTTGAAAAAAAAAATTTTGTTCCAATTTTTTTTTTTTTTTTTTTAGTATTTTGTTTATCGAAAATATTTCAGATTTTATTTTTAATTCTGACTATAGTTCTAATATACTTTAGAAATAATTTCAACTCTGCAATTCAGTTTATATAATTCTTATAAATATTACACAATGTTACATTTGAAAACATTCAGTATTCCTCGAACATTTCGTTACGGTGCGGGAAGTTCCAGCAATTTGCCTTGAAGCACGATGCCATAATTGCCTCAAGACAGAATTCCACTTACAGCTAGTTCAAATATATTTTTGAACACGTCAAATTGTAGCATATAATCTAGTATGTAAGAAAAACAATTGGACGCATCTTTTTAAAATTCAAAATTTCATCCAAACCATGTGGTTTGATTCCACTTTTACGGTTCATCGGAAAACTGTCTGGGACGATTATTGCATTGAAAGCGGTTTTATAATAATACTGCTATCGTTTTTATTATGTTTTTTGGTGAACTTCACAATAAAATGGATTAAAAGATGGAACGAAAAACCGAACGACTCCACCCCGACCATCAATGCTCAGCAGGATAGTGATCATTTCAACTTGTACATCAACAGGCCCAATTTTCACAGCTATATTAAATGACCGAATGGTAATTAGGTAACAATGAAAATAATACATAAATAGTCGTTGAAAAAATAAATAAAAAGGTATTAATAAGGTATTGTTTAAATGAAAGTGAAATTCAGAAAAATCTCACTAATTGTCATTGAGTATAGTTCAAAACATTGCATTAGATAATAGCGAAATATTAACCAGTGCATGCAAATATTAGCTTTACGATAGCAAAATTAGTTATTAAATGACTTAGACACAGCATATATATGCATGGATCAAATTCATCGGAAAACACTTCACACGTAATTACCTTAATACGTATCATATGTAGTTACTTATTACTATGATGTTGAAATAGACAATAATATTTTGTAAATTAAATATTTTAAATTGTATATAATATATATTTTCTGAATCATTTCAGATATGCCGACTGTTTCCTGAAAGTAAAGTTTATACGTCAAGTTAAATTAATAGTTTAAGACGAAAAGAAATGTATTAAAATTATAAATTATAATACAATGCAATAGAAATATAATCATTTTAATGTTGTGATGAAACACATTTGTATTTTTATCTTATTAACTTGCCCTAGGGTGAGTTGAAGTAATCGCGAAAAATAAAAATAATTTATTATTTTGGGGCACTTTTTGCCCCATTTCTGTTTTTGAGAGAAAGGAGCGTCTAATTTCAAAAATTGAAAAAAAAATTACTTGTATTAGCAAAATGAAAAACTGATCAAATTTTTGGGAAGGGTAGGTTCAGCGAAAAAAGCAAAAAAATGCCATTTGTGGCAGTCAAAATGATCATGAGACATATGTCAAATTGTTAGATATTTTACAGGGATTTTAATAATAAATACAAATTTTGTTTACAGGTACGGTTACAGTATCAAGATTTATAATGTTTAACGTATAATTTTTAATGTTTGTATAAACTACGCAGTGCGACTGGTTTGAAATAAAGTACTAATTTTCAAAATAAAAATGAAATATAATAAATATCTTTTTCAAAAAAAATCAAATTACGGTACAGGAAGTTTCAGCAACATGAGTTAGTTACCAGTTTTATTGACACTGAGACAAAAACACCTAAAATTAAATATCTTTCAATAAATACTTCAAAATATCTGTTAATAATATTATTATTAGATAAAAGTATTAGCAACTAGTAATCATTCTATAAGAGTTCACAAAGCTTTACAGATTTATCTATAAGTCACAATTCAAGGTGTACTACATAATTATTATAATCACAAAACCAAGTGTTCAAAATTATACACTCATAACGTTCGAAAATAAACTAAAAAACATCGGACATGGAATTATTAAACAAAATCGAAATTTCTTGTAAAAATTTCACTTTATATACAATTACCATTTAATTTTTATGAATTTAACACTAACACTTAGGAGTGAGCTTGGTCTGGTCTGGTGTTTTCGACATAGGCAGAAGCAATGCGACAAGCCTGCAACAGTATTTTTATCTCAGATACATTGTACTTTGGAAGTAATTGCATTAATAAAGTAACTGCTATTACTACTATATACAGAAAACTGTTGACTATTAACTTTATACAACATCGAAATTTATCTAATCTACATCACATTTGACTATAAGGGTACTCTACCGAAAATGGTAAAAGTAGATAACCAGGTGGGGTGAGCTTGGTCTGGTCTGGTTGCTTATGCAAGTCTGCACCCGTTGACTGTTCTCGAAAAAGGCAGAAGTGACGCGATAAGCCTGCAACAGAAATTTTATCTCGAATATATTATACTTTGAAAATAATTACATTAATGAAGTAACTGCTACTACTACTATATAGAGAAAACTGTTGACTATTAACTTTATGCAATATCGAAATTCATCTAATCAACATCACATTTGACGATAAGGGTACTCTACCGGAAATGGTACAATTTTTTTTTCTTTACTTTTGCCGTATATGATATTTTATGGCATTTAAGTAGATCACCAGTTGGGGTGAGCTTGGTCTGGTCTGGTTGCGTATGCAGGCCTGCACCCATTGACTGTTCTCGAAAGAGGCAGAAACGACGCGACAAGCCTGCAACAGAATTTTTATCTCGAATACATTGTACTTTGAAAATAATTATATTAATAAAGTAACTACAACTACTACTACTATATACAGAAAACTGTTGACTATTAACTTTATGCAATATCGAAATTTATCTAATCTACATCACATTCGATGATAAGGGTACTCTACCGAAAATGGTACGTTTTTTTTTCTTTACTTTTGCCGTGTAGAGGATATTTTATAGCATTTAAGTAGATAACCAGGTGGGTTGAGCTTGGTCTGGTCTGGTTGTGTATTGAGGCCTGCTGCACCCATTGACTGTTCTCGAAAGAGGCAGAAACGACGCGACAAGCCTGCAACAGAAATTTTATCTCGAATATATTATACTTTGGAAATAATTACATTAATAAAGTAACTACTACTAGTACTATATAGAGAAAACTGTTGATTATTAACTTTATGCAATATCGAAATTTATCTAATCTACATCACATTTGACGATAAGAGCACTTTACCGAAAATGGTACAATTTTTTTTTCTTTACTTTTGCCGCATATGATATTTTATGGCATTTAAGTAGGTCACCAGTTGGGGTGAGCTTGGTCTGGTCTGGTTACGTATGCAGGCCTGCACCCATTGACTGTTCTCGAAAGAGGCAGAAGCGACACGACAAGCCTGCAAAAGAAATTTTATCTCGAATACATTGTACTTTGGGAATAATTACATTAATAAAGTAACTACTACTACTACTACTATAAACAGAAAACTGTTGACTATTAACTTTATACAATATCGAAATTTATCTAATCTACATCACATTCGATGATAAGGGTACTCTACCGAAAATGGTACGTTTTTTTTTCTTTACTTTTGCCGTATAAAGGATATTTTATAGCATTTAAGTAGATAACCAGGTGGGTTGAGCTTGGTCTGGTCTGGTTGTGTATGCAGGCCTGCTGCACCCATTGACTGTTCTCGAAAGAGGCAGAAACGACGCGACAAGCCTGCAACATAAATTTTATCTCGAATACATTATACTTTGAAAAAAATTACATTAATAAAGTAACTACTACTACTACTACAATATACAGAAAACTGTTAACTATTAACTTTATACAATATCGAAATTTATCTAATCTACATCACATTTGACGATAAGGGTACTCTACCGGAAATGGTACAATTTTTTTTTCTTTACTTTTGCCGAATATGGTATTTTATGGCATTTAAGTAGATCACCAGTTGGGGTGAGCTTGGTCTGGTCTGGTTGCGTATGCAGGCCTGCACCCATTGACTGTTCTCGAAAGAGGCAGAAGCGACGCGACAAGCCTGCAACAGAATTTTTATCTCGAATACATTGTATTTTGAAAATAATTATATTAATAAAGTAACTACTACTACTATTACTGTATACAGAAAACTGTTGACTATTAACTTTATACAACATCGAAATTTATATAATATTGCCTTACATTATACATCATATTCCAGATGGCTTTAGGTATTATTATAAATAAATAAAAAATACCGCACCTTGAATTCGACAAATATTGCAAAGTTAATTCATAGGCAACTTTTATTATTTTAATTTAAAGCTATCTACGTAATAGTTAATAATTTGATAATATAATTTTGATAAATTAATGATAATATAGATTTGATAACTCTCCCAAAAATTATTCTTAAATGTGAAAAATATCCAACCATAGTTTACAAGTTTATAAGCTAATTTTTTGAAGACTTACATATATACAAATATGTAATACCTATAACTCTTCCACATATTCTATAGATTATTTTTTTAATAGATTCTTCAAGAAAATTGTTTGTTTATTTATCAGTTGCATGGAATAGGAACTAACGAATAAAGAATGAAGTCGTTTATTTCTACAACTTGATAAACTTCTAAGTTATTAAGCCGTTATCTAAACGATAAGGGTATGAACACCTTTATATAAACAAGTATAAATGTAAGCACCCTACTGGAGATGCTATAATAATTTTTTTCATTATTTTTGAACAGCAATCAGAACTTCCGAGTTCTATAAGCTGTTGTGCTGATTCAACTTAATACTAGTATAGTCAGTTCTATAGATGGCAGCCCATCTGTATGATGAATTATTATTACAATTTCAGTAACAGGGCGAATATTTATTGATGCAGCAATGCCGTACAAAGGCTATTTTATATACTTGGAATCATATTGTTATCTACATTTCCAAGTAAAAACCGTTGTCACAACTGCTTGACATAAAAATGGGTACTGTCGACCAATGTGTTTTTATTATAAAATCATCATCTTACTCAATATCTCATTATAAGTAGACGTTTTGAGGAAATATTGCAAGAAATATAGCCATATAAAGCTAATAATATTAGGATGTTTCTATTAATATGCTGCTACATAATTAATTTATATTAAAATATATCTACCAAATACTATGTGCTAGAAAGCAATGCCTTGTCACAACATGGAAAACCCAGCGCATGGCGTTCGACGCAGTGGAAAAGCGTTTGTTTCCCATTCCGCCTACATAATGTTCTCAAGTCATCATTTGAAAAATCGGTGTTGCAAGCATGACGACTTAATGGTGCCCTTGCCAATTTGCAGCATGACTTCCCAGACCAGACTTCTCCGCGTGACATAACTATGAAAAACAATAATATGGATAAATAATTTAAAGCTGATTTTTAAACCGCTCATAAGATAGTAGCATACTCAACTATTCAAACCTAAATTTAAACCCTATGCAATTGCATGTAGAATCTCTAAAATTCATTAACCATTTCCACATCTTCATAATGCTAATTAACTTCGTAGGGTAAGTTATAGTAATCGCAAAAAAATCGAAAATGAAAATTTTTATATATCTTTACGTTTCAGAGGTTTCTTAACATTTTGGCATACCTTAGAAAAAATGGATGTATGTGTGTGTGTGTGTGTGTATGTGTGTGTGTATG